AAACAGCACAGAAACTCAATCCTTATTCAGACAAAGTCTCAGCTCCACGCCCCATTCTTCATCTGGGGAGAAGGTGGCAGAACAATGGACATAAGACAGATGCATGTTGCTTAATGCAGGGCTGGAGGTGCTCATCTATTCCCTCATTAGGATGGTAGAAGAGCTTAATAGGACAGAATGCCCCTGAATGGAAACCCTGCACCATCTCTATAAATGTCATAAGTGTAACCACTAGATGTCATGTGAAAACATACCTTTCTCTACCATGTCAAAAAGGTAAGGGATAATTTTCTCTGGCAGAGATTTAAAAAATAAAATGTTCTTCTACATCCCTCTAGGTAAATAGACCATCTAACTACTTCCTGCCAGCTCCTGCCTCAGTCCACTCTGAGGAACAAATTGCGGCAGGACATTTGCCCACTACGGCTGCATCGGTAGGAGGGAATTCCTGCATGCCTGGGAGCATTCCTGGCACTGGCACACCATCACCCATGCCGCTACACAGCCAGCCATGAGGTTGGCCTGCTCCAGCCACCACTCTCCCCAAACAGTTCCCAGGCATAGCTTTGGTCAGAACAGTCCAGGGATTTTTCCTGCTGGGTGGCTTGAACACACCAGCCTGTTTTGAAGGCTGAGACCATCAGCGGAGATGTGAGCTGTTCTGAGCCAGCTGGCCTCAGTACCCAGTTCCCTTGGCACGCTTAATTTATGTGTATAGATGTAGTCTGTCCATCTTGCAGGAGAATTGTTCAGACTCCCAGTTACCACAGTATCTAACTCCCAGTTTGGCTGCCAGGAGTGCTTTTTCTTATACTTGTGATATTACAACTTCATTATATTCTGTAGAAAGTAATATATTTTTCTGGCTGTGTTTTGTGTTTGGTAACATTACGGATAAATTATTCCCCATTGATTAGTGCCTGACTTTACCTTAGGCAGGTATGTTCACTGCTTTTAACTCCACTATGGAAAAGATTCAATACTCTTAATCTCTCTGTATCACATCTTTGCCTGGCTTTACACTGTAGTGAAAACCAGGTGAGTCTCCAGGAGTGGTTTTTTTCAGTGAGTGTTCCTCATTTGTAGGTCCAGCAGTCACCCAGAGGTTATACTAATTGACACTTCTGAGAGACAACGGATGGACCTCTGCTATGTGAGCCAGTCCTTTTCTTCAAAATATCCTGCATTCAGTCAGCATCAACATGCCAGACAGCTTGAATGTTTTGTGTGGTTTTAGGTTTAGGGTTTTTTCTTTCTTTTTTTTTTTTCCCCCCTCCTTCAGAGTTCTAGATTTTAGGAATGGCTCTTCTATACAGTGAAGAGTAACGTGATGAGACCCAGATGAAAAGTTAACCTCACCTCGTGCAACACAGTGTTGTGAGTAGGTAGTAGCTCCTGTCCCAAGAAGCAGTCTAGTTGTGTCAGCTTGTCACTCTGCCAAAATTAATTCATTTTGCTTTTTCAGCACTGATGAAGTTATACGGCTACTAATTCCAGAGCTGTCTTGGTGAACCCTAGCTTGGGGGAGTGTCTGCTTCACAGTGTAGCTGTGGCCAAGGTTACTATGATATTAGGCTCAGGGTCTAATACAAAACTATCTGCAATCACTTGGAGAACTTTTTAAATCTCAGGTTATCAAAACCAGGGTCTACCTGGCATTTAACATTCTCAGTGTGCATTATCTATTTTCAAATAACAAAAAAGACTGTATGAAGGGCCTTTTGCAAAGTTGCTAAGCTGTCACCATTTTGAGTGTAATATCCATTCTCTAAAAATTCAGGTTTCAGTAAAGATGATCTACTTTGGATTTTAAAATTAAAGATGTTGTGCGGAAGGATTTATTCATCAATATAATACGTATTGTGCCTTACACATCAAATAAATGCAGATTTTAAACACACAATTTAAATATATGTCATCTTTACTATTAATCGCATCCCACTCTCATATTTCTCTTGATTTTCCCCCAATTTAAAGAAATGCTTAACACCTTCAACCCCCAATCACTTCAATAGACACCCAGAATCAGGATGAGATACAAAGTTACTGTTTCACCAAGAAAAGATACTTTTTTTTAGAAACAACTATAAAGCAAATACAAAAAGAGCCTTACTGTGTCAGAATTAAATAAATGACTGTTGAGCCTATTCCCTGAAGCAGGGTCTAATGTAGTCATAGCTGCAGCATTCTGTGCATAGAAAATTTCTTATACCAGTTAAAAAAAAAGATTTCAATAAAAAGTCACCTTTCAAAAATGGAGAACTGCTGCTAGTGAGTTATATGTGTCGACAGGTATCCAATATTTACCCCTGGAGGGATTTCTTCTTACAGAGGCTCTAACTCCCTATCAAATGGAAGTACTCACCTTCCCAGTCATTTCAACAAGGGTTAGCATGATAAAATGATTTGTTATGCCAATAAAGTTTTTGTTACACTGTAAAATGGTTTGTTACGCTACTACTGCTACATAAAAATGTTATGAAAATTAAGTAGGTTGTAAGGTCCAAAAAGGAATAGGCTGGTTTTAGGACCAGCCACCAGGAAAAGAAAAAAGAAGGATCTTCTGATCTACAACTCTTCAATACTGTAAAAAGACAACCTAAATGACCTTTTAACTAACAACTGAAATTGGTACCCCAATTAAAAAGCAGTTATGCATCCAAAATGAACGGGAACTTCCTCAGGTCAACAGCACTCAGAAAATGGGAGGAAACTGCAACAGATCTGATAATCTAGTTGGTGACTTCTGTCCTGTGTGACAGTAAATTAAACAAGCCTAAATTATAATTCAGATGGAAACTGAAGTGCAGACACATGGTATGCTAATCATAACGCGTCACAGATGGGATAGCAAGATAATAAGACTGGAGGAAAACCTTACTTTGTGTATGGGATTTTAATTTTAACATTGTGTATATTAGTCAAAAGCAATATCTGAAACTGGCAATTATCTAATTCACAGTCAAGATTTATAAGTTCCTAGCACATTTTGAACTTGCAATGAATAGTATCCAGAATTTATTTATGATTGTTCCAGGCAATGAGTCACTCCACAAGAAAGGGAAGGTCTGTTACATCTTATGCTTTGTAATTATTACATAGTTTTTATACTTTTCCATTTTCATGTTTCTTTTTGATTGTATAGATTAAATGTTTTTATGCTATTATTCTAATATTAATATTTCTGTTCCAGTCATTTGGTAAATTTTGACCAGAAGTGTACTGCACTGATAAGTGCAGAAGAAAATAGTTCCTGATTTCAACAATCAGCTGTATTTCCACTGAACTCTAAATTTGTTTCTAATCACAAAAATTTTAGAAAAATTTCTAACACAATACATTTTTTCTTATAGAAGTGAGGAAGTATTGGAAATATTTATGGTTTTCTCCTTTTAAATCAACCACACTTCAGTTTCCCTTGTACAGGCTCACTGTAGCAGAGCGAATAACACTGCATTGCGAGGGGAATTTGCTGCAAATGAAGAGCTTATAAGAGAAGCAACCTGCTTTCAGTATCAGGCCCCCACAAGAGTAAGGAAGGTGCATTCAGTTAAGTTTTGCAGATGTAGTGTGCAAAATTCTTCTGCAAGGCCTGCTTTCACAGTAACGTTCTAATGTATGTTGACATATGCAGGGCTGGGCCTCAAGAGAAGTGATTTTGCCTTCACTGGAAAAGGTCCTGACTCAAAGTCTTTGCTGCCTGACTGAACGGCAGCCTCGAGAAGGCTTGTGTATGTGCTTGTGATGTCACTGGTGCCTGAGAAGCCGATAGGCCAGGAGCAGACACATGGCTTCTGTAGGTGGATGTGGTGTCACTGGTGTATTAACCAAGTGCACTAATTCAGACCTGGATTGTCAACTCGAAGTTCATTAATCACTGCTGTAAGATACAAGTTTATTAGACAGTTGGGCAGGATGATAGATGTAACCACATACATTGATTTTTTTCTTTCAAAAGGCAAATGTCCTTACCTTTAAAAAATGTATAAATTAAAATTTGAAAATAATTTTAAACTAATGAGTGAGATTTATCCTATATATCCCTTTTACTTTGCTAGTGGCAGTATTTACTGGTCAGCTAGTAAAACAGCTTGAAGTACTGAATAGACCAGGAATATCCAGCCTTTCTGGTTGCTCAGACCAGGCAGCTCACCTGACTAGTAGATGTGGACTGCAGACTGTGTCTCCTCTCCCACTGTCTGACAAGCACTGGTGGCCGTGGTTAGGACCACGAGCCATGAGCATTTATGTTCTCAGAATAGGTCCAGACATCAGACCTATGTGCACCCACATGGGCTGGGCCGGTTGCTACGCACTACACGCAGCTATGTAGAGAAAGAGCTACCACTTCTAGAAGATCACATGCAGCTCATGCCAAACAGCCTTTTAATCACAAGCAGAAGCAGCCATCAGATTGAGGAAAGACTGGAGTCAAGACTGGGCTGCTGCTCCCAGCGCAGCTCATCCAGCCTCAGCGCTTCCCTGAACTGCAGACTTTTATAACGACTTCTTGTACTTGCAGTTTTTGACCGGTATTGCAACTACAAAATGTGGATCACGGAGGTAGAGTATTCTGATAATGCAGAGTCCCAGGAAAGAACAAATAATATAGTTAAATATAAATGAGTACTTTAATTCCTAATACTTCTCTGACCTTTTTCAAGTGTTACACCCATATCTCACTTTGGGAAGAAACTTAGCCATGTATCATGTAAAATATATTCACCTTCAGGGCTGAATAAATACCGTCATTGATTGTGAACTTTGGAAAGGTGTAGGCAAATTAATTTGGACAAGTCTGCTCTCCTTCGCTGTACATGTCTCAGTGAATGAGAGCCAAGAAAAGTTAATTTTCACCTGTGCCAGCAAAGGCCAGAATGAGGACTACACCTGTACAGAGCTTTACGAGATATAAGGAAAGAGAAGAGCAGTGCACATTTTAATAATGTGAATATCATTCTCTAATTCAAAATACAATTAAAAATCTGTGCTGCTATACATCAACTACTACATCCCCCTTTCAGGACAGAGAGACCCAACAGCAGCAGGCTGCATGCGAAAGGACTGCCGGGATCCAAGTACAAAAGGAAACTGGAACTTACGGAGAGGAGTATTTGGATAGCGCTGTGAATGACCTCTAGGTACTGGAAATCAATTATGCAGCCTGTCACGGAGACGTAGGAGTAATCGTCTAGGATGCCAGGGGCAGAAGGACGCACCACCCTTCGTATGCAGCCGGGCCCATGTTCCCGCCACCAAGAGCGGTGCATTGAGATGTTAAAGGTCATGAGATCGGTTTCCTAGAAGACAGGGAGGGAAGGAGTGTGAAAACCTCTAACTTTGTGTTATTTAAGGTAAAGCAAGTGAAATAAAAGATGCTTCCAATTATTACAAGGAAAGTGAGATAAATAACTTGCCTTCCCTCTCACCCCAGAAATGTTAACATGAAAGTAGGCCATTAAAGGGGAGAGAGGAAATTGCAAACATTTATCGTTTATTTTGTAATTGTGCATAGGAGCTTCTGTCTGGCAGAACTGTCGTACCAGGTACTGTACAAAACACAGTGCATATCCTACATCTCCATGGATTTACAGCCTGAAAAGCAATTTCATTGTTACTTGATTAGAATGTCACTTAAGAATTAATTTTTTTAACAGGCAACAGAGACAGTTTTACCCCACGGTACTGGAGATAATCTAAAACAAACTTCCACCATATGTATTTAAAGTAATAACTATAAATTATAACTATTATTTTAAGGAGGACCACAGCCAGGCAGACTGTTTCAGCTGCCAAAGACTCAAATGAAAGTATGTCTCCAGTCAAGCACCCTGCTCTCTTTTCTCCCCTCTGTCCCCCATCCAGATTACCATCATCTCAGTTTAGCTAACAAACCTGCTTCTGTGAACTAATCTGGGTTTAAAATACACGCAATAAATTCTTTTCACTCAAATTATCTTCAGCCTCAACCACAGCTTGTCTGATCAGGCCTTAAACCTACCGTAACACGTACTGACTGCACCATAGCCCACACAGTACGTATACTGTCTGTGCATTTTAGTTCACATTATCCCACTTGGAGCAGTGAAAGCCGCAAACATATTAAGGCACTGAAGATTTTATAACAGCTTATCTATGAAGTACAATCAGGAAAATTCATCTGAATTAACAACAGATTTAGGTCTTTAGGTCACGCTCACATAAAATACACTGAAGTTGAATGGACACCATTTAAATGCCAAAACACAACCTCCTCACTGGAGATAAATGTGAGATTAGTTACACTGATACTTTAAAAAATTAATTCAGATTTAGGTTTCCATGTTTCCCCATCTCAACTCCAAGGTAGCTGTAAAAAATGTGTGCAAAATTGTCAGCCGTATGCCCATAAAATACCCCTGTTTCCATACATGCCAGTTGGTCAGCGCTGCCGTGACACTGATTCGCCCTTTGCATCCCACTCTGAATATCTGTTCTGTCAGTCTGTCTGTGGCCGTTTACTTTCACCCTGACCAAAGGGACATTCGGTGCAGATTACAGTTGCAGGAGGAGTCCACTTGTTGTTTTCCTCTGTTAACTGGCTTTATTCTGGCCACACCTGAAAATTAACGGGTGAATTACATCCTGCCAGTCTCTGTTACTGCTAGTCAGCAGTAAGAAATCTGCCTTTGTGATTTGCTGCTTTGCTCTCCGTAACTTCTTTACCCTCAAAATGCAGACTTGCTGGAGCACCATTTACAGTTGATGAGTCATTTGTCTTTTGACTTTGCGTGTCATTCCTTGATACTGGTTTAGAAAATTTTCAGCTGCCATATGAAAATGACTTGTGAAATCAGAAGCTGACAGACAATTCAGTTTAATGAAAATATAATTATAAATATATAGTCATAGGAAACAGCCGAGGCTTTCTTCATACAACAATGCCAGAGATTGCACAGTGTTATCAAGTGCTTTTAACAATCGTCAGCTGTAAGAAATGGCATTTGTCAAGCAGCACACACATATTCACTCTTATCTATTTCAGTAACTTTGTTTAGTAGGAATATGGATTTGCCATGTGGGTTAGTGTGTATCAAATATTGAGAGGTAACATTTTGTTATCACAACTGTGGGAATAAATTGTGATGTCCATGGAGCTGGTGTCACAGCTTTCTTCACTCTTGAGGTTTTTTTTCTCCTTTATTTTTTTTGTCTTTAAGTTTTGATTATTATGCCCTCTTTCAGTCTTTGTGCTTGGCTAGTTCACAGCCAATGGCAAAGAAAAAGGGTAAATTTGCATGCGGAAACAGCTTGATAAATGTTGGTGACACATTTAAAATGTAAGAACTCGGCATGTGGTCAGTACAAATAGCTCTTACAAATAAAATCTTTCATTTCTGGAATTCTGAAACGTTTGGTTCTTGGGGTGACTAAAAAAAATTTCTTGACTTGATGGTCATGTTTAGAGATGCTTAATTAGATGGTCATGTCCATATTTCAAGGCTGCTGGTGATGCAGTGAGAGCAATATTGTAGTTAAAATTCTTTGATTAAAAACAAAAGAGAGGTCATCACAGCACTTGCTGCTTTTTTTAAAAAAAAATATTATCCAGAAATTATGGATAAAAGCAGGTAAAAGCAGATAATGATGGCCCAGCAAAGATCTGTTTTAGAAATGCAAACAAAACCACCTCGTGCATTAGCTTGACCTCTAAAATATCACTTCACAAAATGGCAGCCGTAAGCTGTTTGAGCTGATAAATGTTAAGCTGCCAATCAATAAAAGAAAGCCTGACAAAAATCAATTCTTTTTTTTAGTGGCTGAAGCACGCTCCTCTCTAACTTCTTGGAGATTCTTAATCCATAAAGTGAGTTGAATGTGCCAGGCGTTAAAAAATTAACCTGTGCCTTTATCATCATTTGCAGGAGTTTAGAAAATTAAAAAAACTCTTTGCCTGGGTGTACAGGTTTTAAATATCAGTGAACTTTTGAGAGTGTTTCAGTATGTGTGAACTCAGTGCTTGGAAACCCTGTGCATGGTGGAAAAGCTGCTGCCCAGGTGGCTTATTCTCAGTTGTACATTTAATGAAAGTTAAGAATTCTTTCAGAAAGTACAAGCAGATACTTTAAGTTTTTCAGTAGATCATGTACTGTTTTCCAATGTCACAAGCAATCATTAAGCAAATGCATATAAAATACTTAATCTTCAGCAGCTGATGTAAAGTAAACTGCTTATTTCTTGTAGAAGAATGCTGCTGTTTCATAGCAAGAGACTCAGTTTCAGGCTCTGTACAAGAGACATCAAGTGGTCTCTTAGGAATTAATTTAACAATTAAAATTTCAATCATGGATGGAAAATTGCTGTCTTCTGAGCTTCCAACTCATAACATATATCTTGATCTTAATTACATACATCAGCAGGTCCACAGTACTTCCTTGGCTGGTAACCTCTCAGACAGATGCCATAAATGAAGAGTGGGCAGAACACAGATAATAGGACTTCCAGAAAAATCATGTGAGACTTATTGAAGTGACACAGGGAAGGGTTATCCTATGTCCTACTCCTCCCTTTTTCAGTCAGCACTGAGAGAATAGTCCAGTCTGTGGTAAGAAGTTTGCTCCTGAGCGTAGGATCAGCCCAATAATCACTCTTCTGATGTAGAGTCCCACTTAACTGTCTACAGCTTTTTAAGCTTTTAAACTATGTATAGGATTTGTGTTGGCTGTCAGCCCAAGGATTAATTTTGATCGTTATTGGAAATCATTGCTATGGCAGGTACTTTCTTTTAGGTGAGATGTAATCCCTTTAAGTCCCAATAATACTGTTTTCTAAGTGCTTGGAGATAATGTTTAATTTCATTAGATCTGCTTAAATTCTACATTTGGTTTCAAGTGGATATTTTCTATTGGGCAGGGTTTTGAGCAACTTGATCTAGTGAAAGATGTCCCTGACAATGGCAGAGAGGTTGGTCTGGATGATCTTTGAAGGTCCCTTCTGACCCAAACCATTCTGTGATTTTATGATTCTATTTTTAGATGGTGAATCTAGATAAATTTTAACAGATAAAAGCATAACACAGTTTATTTTAAAACTAAAGAGCAATAATAAGGATGATGCTGCTTTCATTTATTTGTCTATACTTTATGTACAGTGGCTATAACAGCAACACGAAAATTAATCAGAAATTAAGGCTAACTAAAATCAACAGATGTAAAGAAAAAAAGACACTAAAACTCCAGGAAAAAAAAACAACAGACCAAGATGGCCTCGTATAACAAACAAATACAATGCTGTGACAGGATGATTATGCATTGCAGAAATATCTTTTTCAACTGTATTTCTCTGCTTTATGACATGCTATTTTATATTTCTTTTATTCCTTTTTAGTATCTGAAAAATACACTCTTAGGAAAACTGTACGAAAGACAGCGTGTTAAGTGGGATGGAGGAGAAGCACTTTTTCTGCCACAAGACAGCCGTCAACATTTGAAATTTCACAGAAAGGTGCAAGAGCACAAAGGCCTGGCAAAACATAATGTTAGAGATCTTGACTTTATTTTTGCTTGTGTGGTACCTAGCTCTTCCTAACACTTTTTATGATACTGATACATACTATAACGCTTATTATAAATGAACATTAATTAGGCTGAGGCAATAAGAATTCCCATCCCATTTCCTAAGAGTAAGAAGAATGCTCCAGTTCTGACTTGCAACCCAGTTTCTGCTTTTAACAGTAAGGAGAAAAGATTTTCAAATAAATACCTGGTCAATAGATAATAAAAGATAATACGCATAATGCTAGGAAAAAATAGTACATTTCCTTGTAATTCCCTGCACCCAATTAAGATTTTAGTTAAGATTCAGTGGTGTTGGCATGGACAAGTGACAAGCACATTCCTTAGTATCTAATTTCAAGGAGACATTAATCCTCATTAGATACAAATGATGTGTTCCAGCATTAACGAAACCTGCTCTAATTGCAAATGTACTTTGAACCACGAGCATCAGCTATTAGCCAAAGAAAAAATCCCACTGGCATCATAACCTTAGTTTTCCACCCTGTTATTTTCTGAAACCATGGGTTCTGATCCCGGCTTGCTCTGTGTGTGACCAGTTACACTCCATCTCCTCTGAGTACTGCTGAACAAATTGGTTTTGAAGGCCTGGGCAGATAATACTGAAGCAGTCCATTGGCAAACAGGGAAACTTGTGTCACTAGCTCCCATACTGTCTTGATGGAGATGATAATTTTTGAATATTAACTATTGACTCAAATTTTTTCTGTTTGTTTTTAATTTGAACTCTTGCTTAAGTGTTACAC